GTTCCTGTTACTCAGCTGTTAGTTCCAGTTACTGAGCTGTTAGTTCCTGTTACTGAGCTGTTAGTTCCTGTTACTCAGCTGTTAGTTCCAGTTACTGAGCTGTTAGTTCCTGTTACTCAGCTGTTAGTTACTTTCTTTGTTGACCGTTGGATATCTCTTAGGTTAATTGATGCTTTAATCATGACTTTCTCTGTTTATCTGAAGCTGCTGTGGAAGCAGTGACACAGGAGCTGTTCAGGTAAGGAAGCTTCTGCTGATCTCCATCACTGTTTGTCATCTCTGTATTGTTTGATTGTCCAACTCATTGTAGACCATGCCACCTAGATCTGCCTCTATATTTGGGTGGTTTCATCCACTGTGGTCACCGATCTGGTCCAGATGATCTAAGCAGAATAAAGCTGCATCTTCTCTGAGGCAGAGTTCTTGGTCCTCTAAAGAACAATAACAGAAACATTTTCAGTAATCCTCCATGTTTGATCTTCTCCAAAGCTCAGCCAGCTACGTAGGGGCGCCTCGCATGAAGGCAGAGTTTCTGCTTCACTTCTTCCCATTTATCATCAGCTGACAGACATTGGTGTGTGCAGCAGATTAAAGCTGATCCCGGTTTGATCCGGGTCAGCGCTTCACTGTAAACAACATATTCTGTTTGAGCTGCAATCAAATGAGCGGGGAACCGGTTAGAGCAGCAGTCGCTGCAGCCATCATCTGGATCGGTTGGTTTCTAATAACATCAGAAAGGGTTTGTTTCTGAGAAAAACTAAAGCTGTTTCTGTGAGTGTTTGCAGAAAGCAGCAGTTTGTTACGGGACTCGGCTCCTGATGTTTACAGATGTTTCAGACCTTTTTCTCCCTCTATTATCGAAGTGATTATTTTCCGACTCCTGATGTTTGTTGTGTCTTTCCTCCTCAGCTGTCCCACCCCCGGATGTGACGGCAGCGGCCATGTCAGCGGGAAGTACGCCAGACACCGCAGGTACTTTTCCATCATTCGTAATCTTCATACATCCTTTAACTGGAGTTTAAATGAAGAACGTCTGTCTGGGTTGGATTATGTTTGGTCACGTTTCTCCTGGTAAAGAAGGTTCTGTGGAGCTGAGGCGTCACATGTCATCTGTGGGAGGAGATGGGTACACCAACTAATGGGTGGAAACATTGTTTATTTTTCATAACCAGTTAGGCTAATGTGTTAAAGGGTTTTTATTGCATTTAAACATCATTAAAACGCTATAAATGGTAAATGTGCTGTAAAACACGTATCCTTTATGGCCATGAAATAGTTGCACTGTGTGGGAAACTCTCCACCATCATTAAAAGGTTCCCCTCCAGTTTTTCTGCAGGAAAACTACTGATGTCCGGTTTGATTCCCTGTCTTCCAGTTTCTCTCTGGGTACTCCAGCTTCCTCCCACTGTCCAGCAACAGTTGGGGAGGGTAATTGGAGATGATACATTTTTCTAGTTTTTGCCGTTTAGGGGACGATTCTCCAGTCGTGCCAGAATTTTATGGATCAGGCTGAGATTCAGCCCCATACTGCGTCCTGCTTTGTGTAGTAAACAGGGAGTAATGAGGGGCAGTTAGCCTCTCAGGGTCACCTCCTGATCAGGAATCATAAGGTCAGGAGAACATCAAACAAGTCAGACAGTCAGTCCATTCAATTCTATTCAGTTTATTTCTATAGCTCCAATTCACATCAGGTCATCTCAGGTCACTTTCCAGTTCACCAGATCATCCAGTCAGATTGATTCAAAGTTTTCTATCTAAGGAAAACCAGCTGATTGCATCGA